GGCCCGGACGGCGGCCGGGAAGGGGCTGGGCGGGGGAGGCGGGGTACTGCCGGGCCTCCTGCTCGGAGGTGACCGAGAAGGAGATGAACCTGCTGAATACGTGGAGAACGCCTGCAACTTGAGAAGAAGAGGAAATCAGTTAAAAATGAGTGGAGGAAAAGGCTGAAACAGGTACTTCTGGCAGACTCGGAAAGGAAACAGAAAGAAAGAAACAGGACAGAGATATGGAGAGAGAACCAATAAGTATTTGTCTTTTCTTGGCAAAGTGCTTAATTCGTTAATGATCAGAAGGGGGAAATCTGGATACCACGCTAGATACCACGAGACAGGCGTAGGTTAGGTTAAAAGTTTGCAGTGCCACGTGTTAAGGCGGATAGAGGGTACAGAGTCTTCACATAGGGTTAGCGAGCATGTGAACTGGGTGGCGAAATGGTTTGGCACTGTCTGAGGTGCTGTACTACGGGATCCAGCAATTGCCATTCTTGGTATTTACTCTGAAGACGGGTGTTTTTATATGCATCCAGACTGGAGAAAACTGTTCATACACTGAAATATTTATATATTTTGTATTATATAGCAGTAAAGAGGAATGGAATTCAGCTATCTGGAACAACATGGAGACATCTCAAAAATGGAATATGGAACAATAACAGAAATCCAGAAAAATGCATATGCTATGCTTTTGTATATAAAAATTTGAAACAAGCTAAATCAAACCGTTTTATGTTTATAGATGCACATTTAGTGGAGAACACTATGGAGGCCAAAAAAAAAAAAAAGCCAAATAAGAATTACTATAAAATTAGGATTGTGGTTAGGTCTGGCAGGTAGGGTTAGGTTATAGGAAGAGTGCCTTTGAGAATGTAGTTTCTGACATTAATCCTTAGTGCTTATGTAGATATTTATAATAATTCATTTAAATGTACATGTATGTATGTGTAGAGTATTTTACCACCAAAAATTTTTGAAGAATAAAGAAAGGAGTTATGCTTGCATTAAAATGATTTTAAAGCCACAAGTACATTTGAATAAATGTCTTCAAAGAGACAAGAATGCTTTCATACCACATGCCTCATTAATGGAAGGCAACATTGGAAAATGTCCTTCCCAGCCAGTTCTCTCTTTTTTATTCTTAGTTTTGTGAGAGTTGGATTTTAACATGATTTTTTTGATAGCAGGCACCTTTTCTTTTGTGTACACAGTAGGACCTCGATGTTCTTTGAAGAAATAAAGGCAAAGTGGCTGAAAGCATTATTGTTATTCTGTCCAGCATATTATACAAATGATCATTCTAGCACCAGCAAGCAAGCAAACAAACACTAAGCAGAGTAATTTATCCTCATAGCAGTTTCCACGACAGGTTAGCCCATGGAATCCATGTGGAGTTGTTTACACTTGTACCTTCTTCCCATCGAGTGCTTTCTGTTTTTTTCAAAAAACCTTTTTTCTGAAAAATTAATGGTTGCTAAATGTTTCAGGAGGCTATCCATCCAGCCGCTACTAGTCACATGCAGAACAAGGCATGTCCTGAGCTTGCTGTCACTCTTCCCTGGCTGAGTATTATTTAGTGACTAAAGGCCGGAATAAGAAGCTTGGACGGCAGTCAGTGTCCATCAGGAGACAGAAACAGCCAGTTATTTTAATGAAAGTAATCAATATGGAGATAGAGTCATTGCAAAGGTGAAAAGGGAACACAGATCATGGACAAAGTAAATGCAGGAAGCAACATCCACCTCCATGTCTGAAGGGAAAGAGGCATGAACCTGGAATTATTTTCATCGATTGATTATTAGTACATATTAATTGTACAAAATATTAGATTTCATTCTTGTATTTTTATGTAATATATTTTGATTGTATCCATTTCTCCAATTACCCTCCTTTTAGCTTCCTACCCCTGACCTCCCTCCCCTTGTCTAATAGCCTCCCTTCTATTTTTATCTTTTTCTATTTTTTCTATTTTTATCTTTTTTTCCCCTTCTAGATTCCACATACAGGAGAAACTTGAAATACTTGTCTTTCTGAGTCTGGCTTACTGTGTTTAACACGGTGATCTCCAGTGAAGCTGGAATTACTAACACTGTGAAGCCTGGAGAAGGGGCCTCCAGACCTGGTATCCAGGCTCCTGAGTAGGGTGAGTTCCCACACTGGAGAGTGCTGTGCTCTTGACAAGGTCTAATGAAACTGGCTCTGGGACTATAAGGAAAACTAAAATCAATCGCTGCTACCAAAACAAACAGCTGCTTGAATGAAGAAATATTGTCAAGGTGACCTATGTTGAGGAGAATGTAAAGCAGAGTAATACCTTTCTCTTCTCCAAGCTTGTCATGGCCCTCTACTGTCCCCTACTGGCAGAGCCAACAAAGAGTCAACTGGCAGAGAAGCCAGGCTTGCAATGGTCACCCTGGCTCCCTCCCTAACAGGAGTGTGTGAAGCTGAGAGACAATGGTTCAGTAAGCAGTGCGGTAATATCCTGTTCTTCAGAATTCTTAAAGATTATAGAGTGCAACCAAACAAAATAAAGCTAGAAAGTGCATTGTTTTCAGCTGATGTTTTGGCAATAGACAATTTACATGTGAGTAGCACTTTACAGCATTTGTGAAGTGCTTTTGTATACACTATCTGTTCAGAATTCAGCTGTCAGCCTGACCCTGGACTAACTAAAACACAAAGAAGAATGAGAAAAACAAGTCAAAGAATGATCAAAATACATAGGTTAGCAATACTGAACTGATTTTTTTCTCCTTTCCCACTGCAATCTACCCATGTATTGAGCTCCCTATTCCCTAGGTCCCTCTTCTATGCTGTTACTCAAACTCTGGTGGTAGACTTCTTCCCGACTTCCCCTTTTGCCTGTCTCTTACTTGGTTTGCTAGCTGAGTAGACCTAGTTCAGCATCATCTCTTCCAGAAAGAATTTTGGGACCGCCTCCCTGAACTGCCCTCATGATGCTTGCATTAGGGTTGGTCTCAACCTAGGCAGGTTGTGCTCCAGGGGACACTTGGCAATTTTTGGAAACATTTCTCATTGTCATAAAGTTATGGTGTACTACTGGCGTCTGATGTGTAGAGGCCAGGGGTGCTGCTTGGTATCCTGTTCTGCGCAGGACAGCCCTGCAGCAGCAAATATAACACAGGGTAGTGTCAGCGATGCTGGCTGATGAGCCCTGTGCTAGGCTAGTGGCCCTTGGTCTGTGGCCCCAAGACACCCAAGTGCAAGCCCCTATCTTTACACACATGCTTGTACAACACTGGGTTGAAATTACTTGTATGTTTCTGTCCCCTTACTATGTTAGAAGCTCCTACAGAACAATGGCTAGCATTGTGTATGGCACACAGAAGGCCCTGGGTTTGGTTCCCAGTACTGGAAAAACAAAAACCAAAAAACAAACAGCTTTAGTGAGGTAAGACTCAGATGTCACACAATTCACCCTTTTGAAGTGTACAATTCAGCAGGTTTTAGTATATTCACAAAGTTGTGCAACCAGCACTACTAATTCCAGACCTTCTTCTCCACTGAAACCGGTTTCCATTATTCATCGAGGATTCCTGACTTCGCTCAGCTCCTGGCAACCACTAATCTACTTTTGCTTCTATTGATATACCTATTCTGGGCATTTTGTATAAATGGAGTTGTGCAATATGGATTATGTATATGTGTGTCTTCTCTCACTTGGCATGTTTTTGTAGATCATCCCTGTCGTGGCATGTATCGGTACTCCTTTCCTTTTTATTACTAAATAACATTTCACTAGATTTATATCACATTTTATTTAGCTATTCATCACTCGATGGACTTTTGTTTTTTTTTACCTTTGGAATATTATGAATAATGCTACCATGAATATTCCTATATACATTTTTGTGGATGTATGTCTTCATTTCTCTTGTGTAAATACCTAAGAGTACAACTGGTGAGCATTAAGATAAGGCTGTTTAAACTGGGCATGGTGGCGCATGCCTGTAATCCCAGCACTTGAGAGGCTGAGGCAGGAGGATCGCTGAGAGTTCGAGACCAGCCTGGGCTGCATAGTGAGTTCCAGGTCAGTATCAACTACATAGTGAGACCCTGTCTCAAAAAACAACAACAAAACAAAACAAAAGATAAGCATGTTTAACTTTTTGAAGATCTGTCACACTGCTTTCCAAAGTGATTGAGCCATTTTATATTCTTACTAGCAATATGAAGGTTTTTGTTACTACACATCCTTCCCAAAATGTGTTACTGGTTATAACTTTTCCAACTCAGCCTTCCTAGTCAATGTGAAGTGGAAGTGGCATTGCACTGTTGGTTTTGTTTTGTTTTCCAGTACTGGGGATCAAACTCAGGACCTTGCACTTGAGGCAGGCATGGCACCACTGATCTAAATCCCCGGCCCTGCATTGTGGTTTTGAGTTGCATTCCTGAATGACTATCTGTCACTGAAACAAATAACCAATGAGTCATTTTTAAGGAGGAAAGGTTTATTTTAGCCCATAGGTTTCAGGCATTGCAGTTCACAGTTAGCTGGCCCTGTGGCTTTGGGCCTGTCAGCATAATACTTTATGACTGGAATGCATGGGGGAAGAGGCCTAATTTACCTCATGGTACCCCAGAAGTAAATACAGAGCAAGAGGGAGAAGTGGCCGGGCTCCCAGAATCACCTTCTGAAGCACAGCCCCCCTGTGACCTCATTTTCTCCCACTAAGCCCTGCCTCTTAAAGATTCCACCACCTCTCAATAGTATAATGGGCTGGGGACTGAATCTCGACACATGGGCCTTTGGTACCAGCAAGTGAATACCAGCAAGTGAAGAACATCTATGTGTTCAGAGCTATTTTTATTTCAAGCTTGCTTAAATGATGTGTTTCAAATTTCTACTTAAATATTCGGTATCTGAGGAATCTCTAAAGATGACCAAGACATTAAAAAATATGCATCTATGAGTTTTGATGTATTTAGCATGCTTTAAGTGCTTACATTTGTACCATTATAAATTCATAAGTTTGTGTATGTACTTGCTATGTTAAAGTCTTTACTCTTCTTGATACTCAAATTGTCTCATCTGTGGCCAGGGGAAGTCCTCATGTGGTATTTTCAGATTGGTTTCTGGGCCCTTTAGCACAGGCTACATTTAGAGAACTCCACCTTCCATCCCCATCCTTTGCATATAGTTCCTTTTAGTTTATATAGGCAATGATTTTTGTTAGACTTTATTTTAGCATTCCATTTAAAAAATATAGCTCAATACATATTATTTATAACTCTTCCTTCTCTTAGGGTAAAGGAAATCTAATGTACACTTTCTTCTGTACCTTGCTTCCCCCCACACTCATTAAGTGTATTATACGGATCATTCTATAGACATATAATTAAATTTCTTCAGAATCCCTTTTCATAGCTGTCTACGACTCCATACTGCAGTATCCCTTTACCCAGCTATCTACTACTCCAGCCAGGCCCTTACTGATACTCAAGTTATTACAGATGGTGCTGGAAGGGATAATCCTGAGTACATATATCAGATTATATTTTACCCTTAGGATCAATTCTTAATAGTGGGATTGCTGGTCAAAAGATAAGTGCTGATGTATTTTTGCTAGATTTTAACAAATTCCTCATCACAGAGGTCCTACTATTTTATGTTCTTGGCAGCAACACAAAATACCAGCAACACTCCTTTTCCTAACAAAGCATGCTGTGAAGTAATTGTGCTTTGGTTGATATGATCAACAAGAAATGGTATTTTTGGTGTAGTTATAATTTTGTATTTGCTTTCCTATGTGAATCTTTTCATTTCTTTGAGAACAGTTAGCCTTACTTTTTCCTTTTCTGAACACAGCACCTTAGACCACTTAGCCATCCTAACTACTCTCCTTGTCCTTTTCTGTGTAGTGATAATTGATTTTTCCTCTTAATTTCTTTGTTTAGAGACAGCATCTGACTATGTAGCCCAGGTTGGTTTTGAACTCACAACCTTCCTGCCTCACGCTCCAGAGTGCTAAGACTACAGGTATGTGCCATTATGCCCAGCTTTTTAAATTCTTGATTTTAAGAAACGTTTTCTATATTAGAGATTTAACACTTTATGATTTATGTTGCAAATATCTTCGTTTATTGCTTATTTTTAAATTTTGCTATGAAGTCATTTGTATTTATGAGTCAATTTTATCAATTATTTCTCCCTTCTTGCTTCTGAATTTTCAGCATTATTAGGTGAGTTTATCTCACTGCCAGGATATAAAATCCATTAACTTGTTTTCTTATAGAATTTCTGTGATTTTATTTTATACCTTTAAGTCTTATATCCTTTTGAATTTTTTAATGGCCTATGATATGAACAGTAGATCCAGTGTTACCTTTTTATATATAGTTATGCAGTTAGTAAAAGTTCATCTTTTCTTACTGATTTGAGATGTCACTTGTATTATATAAAAAGTATTTATTTTATAGTATCAACATTGAAACATAATACTGTTATTGGGATTATTAGAAAATGAAATAATGAAGTTGGTAAAAGGCTCTAGTCCCACTGGATCTGGAAAATATTTAATAGCAGTGTTCCTTGTGTGGTAGGAGTTTTGGAGTTAAAATTTGGTGTGTCCACAGATCATGATAATCTCAGGAAATACACCCAGTGTCCTAGGGACCACTGTCTCAGGCTATTCCAGGGGAAACAGTGAATCTAAGGAAAAAAACACTACTATTTGTTATGAATTCATTATATATTTAATACTGGGCCTGCATTACCTTATCTCATTTAATCCTTGTACTAATCCTCTGTGGTGTGGGTTGCTACCCTCATAAACTAAAAAACTGTAAGAAGTTGTTTTATTAATAAGACCACAATTTGGGGGTAAGGAATCAGGGGGAGGCAAAAGAGAGAGCACCCCCTTATTTTAAATAGCATATTTATTTACTTGTTTTATGTTTGTCTCTTACAAAGGGGATAACTCGGGTTGAGAATTTCATCTGGATTACTGAGGCCTCCTTATCTTGCTCAAATCATATTTGAGGTCACAGAGTTACAATTTCCTTTCTATAAGGACGCATTTTTTTGTTGTTGTTGTTGTTCCTCAAGTCTGAAACTAATACAAAAATATTTCCTGTCTTAATTAAAAATTGGGACCTATTGCTTCATGGAGCTGAAAAAGACCTGGAAGCATTATTTTCTTTTTTGAAAAGTCAGTGTAGATGTTCCTCCAAGGTTAGACCTCCCTAGAATTAGGTAAGATACTTTTAAAAGTATAAACTGTGGACTGGGAATTTAGCTCAGCAGCACTGAACCTGCCTCACAAGCTCGAGGTCCTGAGTTCGATCCCTGGTAGCAAAAACAACAACAACAACAAAAAACCCTGTGCATCATCCCCGGGGAATATAAGTTTTTTTGTATTAATTTTGGTTTGCATCTATCTGTAAATAAGACATAGAGCAGAAAATGTAGGAAAAATGAGCATATTTCAACAGGTCAAGAGTAACCATCAGCTTGACAGATTTGCTCATGAATACATTACAAGAAGGAAGAGAGCTTCTCCATTAGAAGCTGCAAGATTGTTAAAATAGACCTGCATTTCATCTAGATCAAAACCCCATTATAAATGTAGCAAATTACCATGACTTCAACTGAGGGAAGTAATGGGACATTAGGTTGTTGGGTTAAATTAGCAGACTCATAATGACCAGCAGTTCAGTCTCCCTACTTCTGCTACAGGGAACCTCACTACTTGATGGGTGCTCAGTCTGTGGATAGCATCACCTTTTCTCTATTATTTTTCACCTAGTGATAGGAGACACAGTTGATGCTGGAAGTGGGAAAAACATTTTTTGGTCTGTTTTTTTTTCTTTTTTTAGTTATTTGACAAAGTAATGTAAACATCTTTTTCACTTAATTTCCAAAAAGCAACACTAAGAAGAATCATTAGTGGAGATTTATCAGTTGTTCTTTGGCTCTACGTTGCAATAAGCAAGAACTGAATATTAAATGCTCTCTCAGGAATTTACATTGTATGTGAGGGGCAGGATCCTGCTTTAGTCTCTTTGGAAGCCAAGGGACTATGGTTCTAATCTCAACTGCTGTACTCATTAGTTATATGATCTTTGATGGTAGATTAACCTCCTTTCATCTATAAAACAAGATAACTTCTCCAGATCAGTGTTTCCCAAAGTGTGTCCTTGAATAATAATTTTCTATAAAACAACTGCTCTGTAATTTAAAAGTTGAAAGTCTTTCTAAACCCAGTTCATCTGGCTTGAAAAAAAAAAATCCATGGGCCGGGTGTGGTGGTACACACCTGTAATCCCAGCAGTCAGGAGGCTGAGGCAGGAGGATCACTGAGTTCAAGGTCCAGATCAGTGTTTCCCAAAGTGTGTCCTTGAATAATAATTTTCTATAAAACAACTGCTCTGTAATTTAAAAGTTGAAAGTCTTTCTAAACCCAGTTCATCTGGCTTGAAAAAAAAAAATCCATGGGCCGGGTGTGGTGGTACACACCTGTAATCCCAGCAGTCAGGAGGCTGAGGCAGGAGGATCACTGAGTTCAAGGCCAGCCTGGGATACATAATGAGTTCCAGGTCAGTCTCAACTACATAGTGAGACTGTCTCAAAAAACC